CACAGCCAGTCTTGCAGATCTTGTAGGCAAACCCAGTCGAGGGGAGGAGAGGGTTGGTGGAGGTGCACGACCGGTGTCTACCGGTGCATGGTATCCGTGCCTCCCCCTTCCCTTCCCCATCCACCAATACACTGCAGACGGGGTGTGGCCGCGACGTGCAGAGGCCAAGGGGAGAGGAGTGCACACAGCAGTGCTGCTGCGGCGGGCGGGGCTGCCGGTTGTCCAGACTGTGCCGGACCACACCCCGCCGCCCGGACCCGGACCCCCTACTGAGAGGCGCCGGTTACCTTTGGTGGTCCGTCCAGGGATTGGTGGGGTGACCTTACGCTGCAAAGCGGCGAACTTTAATGGGATGCCACACCATTATGTGTGTGCTAGTTAATCGGATTAGGACGGGTTTGTTGATGCGAGCTGCATTCCGCTCGTATTATGAAGGCTTCAGGATCCAGGGCTTTCGCACTTTTTTAGGCTCGGTAAATAATGATTTCAGAACTACTTCAAGACTCTTCAGTCTCCTTCATCTTTATCTGCCGCTGGGCTCTTTTCTACAGAATATTGATCCGTTTCTTGATTTCCGTCTTGTGTTGTTTACTTTCTTGTCTCTAGTCTGGAGAAGTGAAAATAAGATACTAGACATGACAAGGTGGTTTCTCTAGGAGCTTTCATCGGAATCACACCTCGTGAGTTGTCATCACTGACACCTAAGCCGTCGTCTCGCCTCATCCTTTTCCAGTCATCCAAGTGGCAAGGTTAGATAACTTTCACCGATCCCTGGCCCCTTAACAGTTAAGCCATTTCGCGTAGTTCACTTTGGACTAGCGCATTATGAAGCGTTGGCACGTTCCTGCGATGTTTGCATGGGCGTTGATAGGATAGGTCTAGACTAGACGGTCTGCCATGATTTTCTGTGATTTTGAGGCTAGCTGCGAGGATAAAGACATGACGGACGTCGTTCCGCTATAATCCGAAGTCATCATGGTTCAATGCATCGGAGCGCCAAATCCGTGGCGGCAAACTGGTCTGAAGCCGAGCTCGCAGCATGGTCATGTTGTGACGTCTCACCCACGCGAAAAAGGCGGTACAGAGGACACTCCGGACCGGGTGGCCCTGTGTAGCGGTGACGCGGGTCTGCGGTCAGGTGCCGGCCCGAGGGAGGCGCGGAGGACCCCTCCGGTCCCCGGCGCGACTCTGCAGCGCTGCAGTCGTCCTTGGATCGGCTCGAACCCGGCCGTGGCCGCCGGGCTGTCACGAGTCACGACTGTGCCGGGCGGTGACTGGTACCGACGCGGCTGACCCGCCGCGAGACTACCGGGCCCCAGAGGTGGTCAGGGGCCCGCTCCGCACCTGTCGGAGACCGGACTGACCTGCAACGAGCCTCTGCAACGAGCTCGTGCAATGATCCGGTGCATTGATGAGGGGCCCCACTGCCGCCGTTTGGACTAACCCGGCGGTAGTCTGTCGGTTCTTTGCCTGTAGGCCTCTTCTCGACTATTTCCATCGGTCTAGCGGACTTATTAAGTGCCAGCCATGGATATTTCCAAGCCTTTTAGGCTTAGGGAAGTCCCCGCAAGCTTTCCTTTCCGTCAAAAACTGCCCCACGGTAAGCACCTGGGCATGTCCCTCACGACTCATACTCGTAATCACTCGTTCCACCAGTTACGCTTATCGTTGGGTCATGACTGGGTTTAAAAGCGCAAATATTTACAGAAGAGGGAGATAACTCTCCACCGGTAACGAATTTCTGTCGTAGTCTCGACCTAGCCGTAACATGGTTAAGGACGGTTTGAAATGCTTATTTTACTCAGTTACAGTTGTTATGGTCGGTAGCCATGGCCTTCTGGCTTCTTCGATCTATCGCACTAAGATGTTGTCATCTTAGGAACGTACCGTTATAATAGAAAAGAAAATAGAATAGTTATATGAGCTGTGGGGACTTCGTGCTAAGTGGGGTTAAATGAATTGTTCGCTGAAGTGTCCCATCCTGACCCTGGCTGACCGACCTCTCTTTTTATGGTGACCCGTTGGAGAGCTCTGACCACAGGATGGTCCGCTCTCTGGCCTTGTAAAAACCTTGAACCGATATTTGTGTATTCTTCTCGTAGTTTAGTGTTATGTTTCGCTTTATGTTCTGACAGCTTATGCGGGCAAGCTCATCTAAGAAAAGATATTTTTATCCTTCCCTTCGCTTATAAATGTGACTCTCCCTGCCGCTGAAGTTTTCTGCCGTCAACGCCATTCGATCTTGAAGCTGAAAATGTCAGTCTTATCCGAAAAACGTGTTAGTGAACGGTTTCCAAAAGAAACCATCCTGGTTGATATTCGATCATTCTTGTAATAACCTGTTGTGGTAGTGTTAATGGTAATATTAACGAGTACGTTGTTTTTAGGTACCCACTTATTCGACAGAAGATTGCTTTCAGGTTTTCTCGTTTGCGGATGATTATTATGACTATGGACGATGTTTGTGTGCTTTCAATATGTTTGATATCAGAACAGCAAATGGCCATGAAAATTTCGGCCGTCAGCGCTGTGCGATCTTATAGCTGAAAATGTCCGTCTTATCCGAAAAGGCGTGTCAGTGGACGGTTTCCAAAGGAGATATACTGGTTGACATTTTATCATTCTGCGAAAACTTGCAAACACTGCCCGCTGGAGGACTTGAATGTCTCGACGGAGAAAACTAAGGAAACTGGGATGTCTTCAGAACGAATTTCTTCAAAATATGCGCCTGAGCCGATCAGTTGAGGAGAGCAGCTCGCTTTCATCGTATCGTGTTGATGCGCCGTGATTGACACCTTTATTGGTCACAAATACAACCAGGATATCCCTTTCCCAACCCACTTCACCCATCCCCTGACCTCACCAATCCCCGGGGGCCATAAACGTATCGCTGGGAGCCGTTCCCAATCCCCGCCGTCCCGCACCGACACACGGACAACGGGCTGTCATCTGGCCGGTCTGTAATTGTCCACCCGCCCCCGGGTATCATCCAGCTCGGCCTGCGCCCCCGGACGCCCCGTCAGACGCCCCGGGACGCCCCCGAGGGCGTCTCAGCCTTCTCGGTGACCGTCCGGCCGACACGCCGTCCGCGCGTTTCGCTTTCACGCTAGGAATGTGTCCGGGAATACGGCTTTTCACTCCGAACTGGCCGCCAGAGACGGGTGTGGAGCTCCTCTGTCGCCTGGTCGCCGACCTCGCTGACCTTTGGTGACCTTTGGCCGCCCGCGGTGACCGCGGTGGCCTGGGTGACCTGAAGTGACCGGGGATGACAGTGGTGCTGATTGTGACGGAATGCCACCCGACCAAACGTGTTTACTTGATGAGATGAGCTAACCTTGCGTCGGTAGCGTAAGTTATCGTGTTATCAATCGAGGATTCTTGTTTTCGGTTGCTGAGCGCGAATACCCGTTCTCACAAACAAACAAGCTGCTCAAGGCCGGACCGGTCTGTCCACCTTTGGTATTTCGTCGCCGCCGCTATCGGTGTCTACTCACTTGAGGGTTGCGAGAGCGACGCTTCTTCGTGTTACATTTCCCATCGTCCGGTAATCGATTGCGATACACAAATGTCCGTGGGACAGGGCCGCGCTAATGACAGTAAATCCCTGTTTGTCTGGCTCGGTGGATGATTGCCCGATGGTTGGTCTCATGGTTATGTCGTGATCCGAATCACCCTAATACGGCCGTGACGGCTGTCAGCGCCGACCGAGTTTCACGGGCCGTCATATGACGGGTGACGTGTGGCGTGACGGATACGTGACCAACAATGACGTGACGTGTCACGGCGGCCAGGGTCAGGGTGAGCAACATTACTCAGAGGAGAGGCACTGGATTCAGACGGATGATACTGGATGACGTGGATATTGCAAGATGTCAATACGGCTTTGTGACTGGTCGCTGTTCGGTTGTGTTTCTCCGTGATACCTCAGTTTTTTTTTTTTTTTACAAAGTTAAGCTTTGTAGCCTTGCGACTTCGTTTACATCATTCGACGCTCAGGAGTCTATTCGTGACTGCGTCAAGCCTGAAATGTCACACTTATCTACTGCGGGAGTTTATAGGCGGAAGCTGGTCCAAACTAAGCCTTTTCAGTGACCCACCCACTGCCGGCACCACCCATTTCGCCAATCGCTACTCCATGTGGCTAGCTTGCAAACAGCTCTTTTGCACAGTCCCTCTTACATCAGCGTTGACAATATCCATGCTGGCCACAACAGCATGTCCTCGGCAGGCAGCAGCACACTCGACTGCAGCACACTCGGTGCGGGACTCATTAGCCGGACGGACAACAGGCGTCGTGACATTCCGCAGGGCCGTAATTGAATGTGCGGTACCCGCGGGGCGCCGCGGACCGCAGAGATGGCCACGGAGGGCGGTCGTGACGGTCGTGGGTGGAATTTATTCACTTACTGTGGTCCCTGTTTGCTTGTGTTCTGTTGGCTTGGATCTGGCAATGCGCCACATGGTATTTTTGTTTGGGTGGGAAGCTTATTTTATCGGGAAATTACAGGAACACTAGATGAAAACAGATGATTGGTTAGAAACACATACGTAATTTGAACACGGTAATGCAAACTGACCATGCGTAAGCTCGTCATTTCAAACAATGCAGAATTCACCGCTCATATAACTACGGCCTAAGCTTTCCCTGCATTCCTCCGCTTTGTTTATTTTCGCTTGTTGTTGATTGGTTTTCACAGATCTTACACGCTTCGTACGCTTGTCCAGAGTTCACGTCCGTTACAAATACCCTCTTGATCTCAATTAACCGTGCTATATCTCAATTGTCTTTTTACCACCTCTCAACGTATTTTCCTCCCGATCTCTAATTGCTCTTGTTGACCTGTGGACTCGTTAAAAACCCTAACGCTCCGTTTGAACCATCCGCCGTTCCGTGTGCCCCCTGCCGACAGCGTCGCCGCCGGGTCCGACCTCTGGTGACCCCTACTGACCTCCTTTGACCTCTGCTGACCTCTGACTGTGACATGTGTGCGTGTTTCCAGGCGCTGATGAGGCAGGAGTTGGCGGACGCCGCTGCCGACCGGCTGTTGGCCATGGACGAGCGGCGCCGACCGTACAACTCGTTCGGAGACGTCCGAGAGCCGACAGCCGAGGAGATGGAGGCCTGGAGGATGAGACAGCTGCGCAGTGACGATCCCCTGGCAGCCTTCTCAACCAAACGGTGACCTGTGAGGTCAGTCCGTGACCCCTCTGTGAGGTCAGTCCGAGACGCTGACCCCTTGTCCGGTGGGTGAGCCGGTGTGTGTGTGTCATTCTCTCCGACCCCACCGACTCGGGGCGTGGCTGACAACTCCGACAGACGGATGGTCTTTGTTGGTCAGTGGTACCGTACCAGAGTGTCTATGCTGTGTGGGTGTGAGACGGGAGGTGACCGCGCCGCTGTTGACCATTCAGCCCGCTCTCCGGCGGCTCCCGTCGCGGGCTGACCGGCCGGCAAACAGTCTCCGCGCGGAGAAAGCTCGGACGTGTGCCGCCGGCCGACTCCACCCGACTTCTCTCCCACGCTGGAGTATCGTCTCGGCGACTGGTGGGTCGGAGAGTGACTGACGGGGACGGCACGCCCCGGCACGGCGGGCGCTGCGCGGCGATCAGCGCAGCTCCGGTAGGGACTCTGAGGGGCCCGCTCGGCCGCGCGTGACGACCAGGGACGCGGCGGAGGCTTGCCGCGGAGAGTGAGTGGCAGATGCGGACCGAGCTGCGGACTGTAATCCGCAGTGACACGCGGTCAGATCCTCTCGCTCCGCGGCTCAGACGGGCGGGGTCGGCCTCGGCCGCACGACAGGCCGCTCGCGTGCCGAGGAGAGGAGGTGCCTCGCCCAGCATCCGGATGTGTACTACGGAGCGGTCTGTGACTGACAAATGAGCAAAACATTGTGCATTGTGAATCTTAATGTACAAGTAAGCGACTCGCGTTTTGTGCGTGTCTGGTTCCCTATCCGCCAGCGGTGGATGTTGGTACGAGCTGTTGTGTGATGTCATCGATAAGTGTATGATAATAAACCACCTCACTTCGACTCATATCGATCCCTCCGAGTTAATGGTAATCGTTCACTGGCACTGATCGTTGTCGTGAGGTCGCCATTGTCGTGATGCCACTAACCGTGAACGATATTGGGCAACCTGGGTGGGTGCGGTGAATCTCAAACAATGGGCACTCGTCCGTCGGCACATCGTCTCTTGATGGGGGGTCGATAATAGCCGGCTTCAGATGGCTGGTGATGCGATGTAGCACGGCCGGTCTCGGTTGAGTGGTGGGGGTCGTACATACACACTCGTGGTCGTTCTGTCCTGGTCCACGACTCGTCAGGAGGGCACAGGTCACCCATGCAGCTAATGAGATCAAGGTTGGGTGACGCGAGACTGAGCTATTGTTGTCTCGTGTTGGGTGGCGGCCGGCGGGGTGGCATTTTGTTCGAAACGCGGGTAATTCATTCAGCTTTGTGTCACTCCTGACGGACCTAACATTGATGTGGCCGACCTTCACGGTAGCTTTGCCGCAGGACAATGCGTCTCCCAGTGTCCAAGCTGCGACCACTGCTGCCCCGAGAACAAACAAAAACCCAATCAGCTTTGATGAGTGTCTGCTGGTTAGCTTCACACCCGACTGTACCTGTCGGTGCCGATCATCGCTCGGTCTCAGGGCGCCGGTTTCGCCGCGGTGACGGCAGCGATGTTTGCCGCTCGGACGCGTCCGGCGCTGCACGGCCCACGCCCACCGGCGCGCCGCGGCTGAGGAAAGGAGGGCTGACAGACCACGTCCATCGCCACGGCGCGCGGAACGACACGCCAACTCGAGAAATCGAACGCGGGAACGGCCGAGCCGCTGCACTTCCTGAGAAAACACTGTCGAATGGTCAGACCCTCCGTCATGGTGCGAGCATAATCCTGGAAATTTCCCAGCCGTCCCAGAGAGGAAAACAGGCGGGCCCGCGAGCCGCGGAGTGTTTTCGGCGTGTGTTTAAATGCGCTGGTCACCGGAAAAATGCTAACGGAGCATGGACAAAGGTGAGGTGGACTGCTACCGCAGTGGCCGTGAACTTTGACAGGGGCGGAACCTCTCACTCGCCCTTCCGGAATTGGCCGGGCGTGACTTTCCCGCCTGGTCCCCCGTAGGGCAAGCGACGGCATGTGAGTGTGTGTTGAGTGATTGAGCATGGGCGTGTGTGCATGTGTGCATGCGTGGTTTGTCTGCGTGCCATATATGCCAGTGGCTCTTTGTTTGTGTCTATGTGTCTGTGCTTGTCTAATGTATTTATACCTGTATACCTGTGTTTGTCTATCATTATGTCTGTCTCACTTTCTGTTTGTCCATCCATGTGTGTGACGTGCGTGCTGAGACGGACTCGGTCAATACGCGGCGACAAACACGACTGCCGTGTGACAACAGACTGAGCGGCGGTTGATATGGCGTCCTCCCCGCCCCGGTCTACGTCACAACAAAGCGGGCTTTCGTCTACTCATCACACACTAGCGTGATGCCTAGATAACAGGGTCTCTACCGGCTGGATCATATAATCAGAGTGAAGGTGAACAAAGGGATGATATCCTGACTCGCTAGGGTAAGTCCGCGTCGGTAGCTATATTCGGACCGTCTTAGCAAATCTCTTCCTCTTTCGCTTCTCCGTCTGTCTGTCTGTCCGCCTGCCGCGCGGTCGTCCGCTAGTGAAGCGGTTCTCGCCTCCCAACTGCATACTGAGTGGACTGACTCCATGCTTTGTTGACCACGGTCATGAATATCAATGTGTGACCGTTTCCGAACGGACTGGTCCCGCCCTGACCTGTGCTGAGCGGACCTGACTACACTGACCTGCACCGAACGAACCGGTCCATGCGTTACACTCCGCTGAACGGGTCAGGCGTAGGATCGAGTCAGCTAGCAGCGGGAGTCTGTCAGAGTGTGACCACTCGCCTGTGACTGCTCTGGCTGGCGACACTGACTGCTGGTTGCTGAATGCTCCATCTGGTACCTGCTGATTGCTGACTGCTATGACTGCTGACAGCTGACTGTTGGGTTCTGAATGCTCCAGCTGGTGACTGCTGATTGCTGACTGCTATGACTGCTGACAGCTAACTGTTGGGTTCTGAATGCTCCAGCTGGTGACTGCTGATTGCTGACTGCTATGACTGCTGACAGCTGGCTACTGAGTACTGACTACTGGCCGGTGTACTGATTGCTGACCAATATCTGCTTGCCATTGACCTGTGATCACTCGCGTTTAGATCGTTGATCACTCTTTGATTAGTGACCAGTCATGGATCGCCAGAGGACGCTGGTCACTGACCATACATCGTGACCACTGACCAATCTCAGTCATCTCTGACGTTGAACAGTTACCAGATGGAGAGCTGATGACATTTGACCGGTGACCGTGTGCTCATGAATGTGACCGACGATCGGAAAATGGATCAAATCTATAAAATGCTTCAATTAACATTTTCGAATAACAAGACCTTGCTAACGAGCAGTGGTAACTGGTACGAAACATTACAATTATCACCCAGAATTTGTTAAGGCTACAATAATCAGTGGGACTGCAACGCAGTGGAGACTGGATACGTTGCTACTCATGACATCGCCCGTCACGATTTCAGACTTTAATCGGTTAGGGCCGATACAGTCGGTTAGGGCCGATAAAGTAAACGGGGCCGGCTTGAAGCCACAAAATAGCATCTCGTGCTCCCGAACTAACTACTACTATCCTCTGGCAATTTGCAATTTGCAATCGTGCCATGTACGAGTATCTATCCATGAATAAATGCGGAAAGGTTGTCAGCGTGTGTGTAGCGTGTGCCTCAGAAATATCTCGTTTCGTATGATAGCCCAGTGGTTTCAAGCTGAGCTGCTTGCTGTAGCTTTGTTAGGCAGGCCCACGCTCAGGTGATGGATCTTATCTGGTGACTGACCTGATCTTGCGGCTCTGAGCTATGCGGTACACCGACTGTTCGGTTCATTTACAACATACTTTGGTGGACGGCGCCTCTGTCACCGTTTTTCATCGTCGGAACGTCAGGTGGACCGTTGAGCCACGTTTTTAAATTTTAAGGACGCTGCTAACATGGGAAGCACGCCGCTGAGTCACGACTCACGACCCAGCACTGACTGCCGTTAATTCAATCTTTTTTTCCTGCGGTTTGACTCATCTGTCAAAGATCGAACCCTACTGAAGTTCGCGAGTCGATAGAAATAGGATTATGTCAGTATGAATCCTGAGAGTGTTTTTTTTCCTTCACGGAAGGGTAGCCGGACTATTTGGCCTTGTTGTGTTCACCTTTGTTCGTGTTCTTTGTTAGAACTTTGGCGCCATTTGGACTGCATGAATGTTCCAGTTTCCACATTTCCGACATTCCTGTAACCTGTCTCAGCCCCCTCCCCTCCATTCGCCTGCGGCTGGGGATGCACGGCCCATATCGGCGACAGTGGGGAGGGGAGAGGGTCTCATCACATCGCCCGGGGGCTCGATCGTGGCACAGTGGCACGCCAAACTGACCCAATTGGTGTCTGACGCAACTGCGCGCGCGCGCAGCGCTCGGAAGCGCGGAGAAGGGCGCTGCGGCAGCCTTGGGGTCGTCACTGAGCGGCGGTGGTAGCGGCGGCGTCATCCAGCCGGAACAGCGCCGGCGCCGCCGCGTGTCGCGTCATCGGCGCACAGCCGGCTCATTTCATTCAATTATATGTGTCTGGATGGGTGGCTGCCCTCGAGGGCCCGCGGCGGTTTCGACGGGCCGGCAAGGCCGTTCGGAGAGTGGACCAATGTCGTGGAGAGGCGGCCACGCTAATCTGCTTGTATGTTACGGATTCGGATTCACACAGGCTTGTATTGAGAAAGAAAGAACACACAGGTGAGAAAGAACACACAGATTGTGGGTTCTTTCTGACTGGTATGCTTTCAGGACCCAACCGAGTTACGTGAAAATACGTGAAAGAAGGCCAGCAGCATCGGTCTGTGAATTGGTGCTATGCACCAACTATCGATGCAGTCTCCATCTGCTCATGTTATCTACACGCACGCATTGCAGTCTCCATAGTCGCGGTGGGCGTACTTAAATTTCTCGGGAATCGCTAACGCTTTCAAACACATTTGTCCAGCCGATATTCAAATGTCCAGTGCCCTCATTTCTGCGACCTCATGTGCTACAAATCTGCTCGTTTTGTGCCGGATAGATTTGTGTCAGCTGTCAGCAGTACATTTCACTTGCGTTTCTGACTGGTGCTACTCGCCTTTCTGTAATAGTGCAGTCTCCAAGTGGGTTAGTTACACGTCTGCGTTGCAGTCTCTGTAGAGGAGTGCCTTCGGTGCTAGCGTCATGTCGCAGATGTATTCTCTGCGTACTTCCATCTCAATATTCTACCGCTACCGCACGTGGCCACTAATCTTCTGCTTTCAGAGTCTATGACCAACTCCACGAACGTATCCCTGCACCCTACCACCTTCTGCAGCTATGTAGCTAGACGGACCGGGCAGCCGGTGACCCGTGCCGCCGCCGCAGCCCGGTCCGTTGGTCGGCCGGGCGGTAAAATCGCACACCCCACCCCGTCTGCAACGGAGCCGGGCCGTGGAGGTGAATAGCAATGGACGCCGCCCTCCGACTCTCTCCCCGAAACCGTCTCCCATACTCTCTCCGACACCGTCAGCGCTTTTCTGATACTCTGCCTGCATTCCTATCACAGGGGTGCTCTCGCCGTCTCTCTTCAGCCCTTCTTTCTCCCTCTCTCTCTCTCTCTCTCTCTCTCTCTCTCTCTCTCTCTCTCTCTCTCTCTCTCTCTCTCTCTCTTCCTCTCTCCCTTTCTCTCCCTCTCTCTCTCTCTCTCTCTCTCTCTCTCTCCCTCTCTCTCTTCTTACATTCCCTTCCTTTCATTTCTCTCCTTCATTGCAATCTGGTGGAAATGTCGGTGTGTGGGGTCAACCTTCAGGCCAGGTCAGGGGCGAATAGCTACTGGAATTACAAACCTAGAGATAATCCCCCGTCATTCGGACAACAGGCCGGCTGTTGTATTATTCCTCACTGTCCACCG